ACTAGTTGAGACCGGACCGCATTCTTACGCTGCTACTAGACCGCGCCGGGCCGTGGCGAGCCGGCCAGCCGAGCCGAGCGGTACCTAGCGGGTACCGTGCCCACCGGGCTCGGCTCGGCTCGGTTCTGCACGGCTCCGCTCGGACGAGGATGGGATGGGTCACGCTAGTTGAACGGGCTGCCTGTCTTCCAGGCGGCTGGAAGCTCGGCTGGAAGCCCCGCTAGAGACTCGGCGAGAAGGTCCCTTTCGTCCTGGCATCCATGCTGGCATCCATGCTGGCAGTCAGGCCCGTCCCCTCCCGCCACCTGGCGTCGGAGTTGAGAACTAGTTTTCCCGCTCCTTGCCGTGCCGCCGATTTTATATAACGGTGCGCGATTGAAAATGTCCGATTTTCGTGCGGCTGTAACCCGCTCGGTCGTTAAAGCATTCAAGCCGCTAGCCATAAACCCGCCTTAGATTTCCCCACTATGCCTCCGAGCTACTGGCGAAACGCCTGGCAGTAAATTCATGTCAGACTTTTGCGAATGTTGCTTTAGTTTTTCCTTCAGCTCTTGATTCCTAGTTTCTTTGAAAATTAAATGTCGAGTCTCGGCCACACCGTCTTCCAGCACGTCGCTCTTCAGCAGCAGCAGCAACGAGCCATCGGTACGCAGCGGCAGCAGCATCACCACTTCCTAAATTCATTCAGTCAGATCATTTAAAACTAAAAGCAAATATAAAATCAAATCAGATTCATTTACATTTTAAGAAGCAGCAAAGTTCGTCCATGCCTTAGACGAGTCTGATGTAGGGCTTAGCCTTAACGAGTCGTGATTAGAGTACATAGCAATGCCGCAACCCCACTCAAGTTGACCGAGTTGATCTGCGCCCACTCTCGGGCTCTTCGTATTCTCCTCGTTTTGTCCTTTGGAAAAATAAAATAGCTACCCAAAAAGGCGGGCATTGTACAAATAGCGGACGTTTGGGCGGCGTTATCTCGCGGGGGGAGGGGAGAGGGAGGGGAGGGGGGAGTCACGCAAAAAACACATCGCTTCTTACTCGGACATCACACGGGGACTCGTGGGAACACGCTAATTGGAACCGGCAGACATTATGTGGGTCAATCGTAATCTCCTGGCCTGCGGGACGCGAGGGCACCGCGAGGGCGCCGCGGCTTCCTCCTCAAGGCTCGCCTCTTGATCATTCCCCGTCTCTGGAATACAATGTTACATTCCACGCGTGACGCGGGTCTGACTACAGTGGGCCGGGCCGCGCGCCGAGCCTCGCCTCGCCCGGGGAAGTCCGAGGGAAGCCAGCCAAAGCCGATCGAACTTCGGGTGCTTCGTCTCGCGAGATTGGCGATTGGCGGTCGCGCCTTCCGGCTAAACAGATAATAAACCGTTCCAAGCGACGTGCAGCCGGCACTGCCTTGGCACTGCCTTGGCACTGCCGGCAGCCCCACGTTCGTCTCTCCCATTCCCTTTTTCTGTTCTTTTCTTTTTTTCCAAGTACGTTATCTTTTCCCCGTGCGGCCTGTGGAGGCTGCTGGGCCTTTTACACGCCAGGCTTCGCCAGGCCTGGAAAGCGTTCGTGGCGTCCCGTGCCGTCTCGTCACGTCAGGTTCCTTTGGGTTCCGGGAATGTTTCCCACACGAAGGCTGGGCTGGGCAGGGCTGCGTCCGCGGCGACCGCGGCGCGCCCAACGTAGAACGCGCCTCCGTCCCACCCATGGTTCCACCCATGGTTCCACCCATGGTTCCACCCATGGTTCCACCCGCGCGCCGCGGTCCGCGAGTCCGCGAGCGAGGAGCACGGCCCGCGAGGGCGCGACACTTGCAACGCGGCCCTGGGCTGGCCTGGGCTGGCCGCGCGCGTGCCCAGCCCAGCGTGCCCTGCCCGGCGTGGAACGGCGGGCGCGGCGATGTGGACCCAGCACCCAGCTCGCGCGCTGCCCGTGGCCCAGCCAGCCCAGCCGTGGCCCAGCCAGCCCAGCCGTGGCCCAGCCGGCCCAGCCAAGCCGCGCCGACTTGAGTCGTGCCACAGTCCAAGTTTCAAACCTACGCCCATGGCTGCGTCCGCGAAGCGGCGCGGAACCGACCGCGGCTCGCGATCGCTGCGGCCGGCTGCGGCCGTCCTCGTCGCACGCACGGCCGGGCACGGCGCCGGCCGCGGTGGGAGAGAGACGCCGCGATGGGCTGGGCCGGCTGCGGGGCCGGCTGGGGCCGTCCGGGCAGGCCCCCCGCACGCAAATGAGGGAGAGCGCGCCGTCCCGGACTCCCGGACGCGGCCCTGGACGCCCTCGAGTCGCGGGTACAGCTGCGAGCGGAGTGGCGGGGAGTGGCGGGGAGTGGCGGGGCGGGGCGCGCGCAGGGAGACGCACAGGACAGGACGGGATAGGACATGCCGCGAGAGCCACACGGTCCTTGACCTTGGCGAGCAGCGAGCACGGCCGTGCCAGGCCAGCGTCTGTCGGGACAGGTGGGGGTCCTACGCAAGGGGACGCGGACGCGGCGGACGTACACACACCTACCTCCAGCAGGACGAGGACGGCCGCGGCCCACTAGCCGTGTCCTAACTACAGACAGGGCCGCCGAGGCAGCGCCAGGGCACCGCCAGGGCAGCGCGCCGCGTAGGCCAGGGGTCCAGCCCGCAAAGGTCCAGGCCGGGCTACACTAGCTTACACAGGGTTACTCTAGGGAAGGATCGACCCGACCCGACACGTTCTCCGGGGCGCGGCGGGACGGGCCTGCAGCGCAGAAAGGCGAAAAATGTGCAAGAGGAAATGCCATTCCCCGTTTCCGATTCGTGACGAGGCGGCCTGCCTCTGGGCCTGGCCGGCCTGCTGGGCCGTCACACCGCAGATATTCCCCGCGGGCGTGCCGACCAGTGCCGACGCGTTGCCGCGGCTCGCATGCAGCCTCCACGTTAGGCCCTGTCCCTAAATAATTACTTGGCGCAAGCTGGAATATTCGCCAAGGTCAGTGCGGAGAACTGGTTTGGTGTCTAATAACTATGGAGTAGGGAATGGGCCGTGTAGGCCTCGGGCCTGCCTGCCGTGCGGAGCCACGGCGGAGCCGCCCGCCCGCCGACCTGTGGAGTTCTCGAGCCGTGCCGAGTGCCGCGGCAGCGCGGCAGGCGTGCCCAGGCAGGCCGTGCCCAGGCCGTGCCCAGGCCGTGCCGTGAGCTCGGAGCTGGACGGCCTCCTGCGAAGGTTCGCTATCAAATCCCCCCTTTGGAGCCCCTGTCTGTCCAAGTCGAACGGTACGGCCGCACCGACGACGCGGCGGTATAGATGATTTTCTTGGCATCGGCCGAGGCAGGCGGGGCAGGGCAGGCAGGCCTAGGCAGGCCTTCCCCCTCGCCTTGGCAAGCCTCCACCCGCCACACGCAGCGCACGCAGTGCAGAGTGCACGACGCACCCGGCTGTGGACGGATTCCGCTCAGCGCTTCGTCGCTGTCTCTCCCGCACGGCAACGCAACGCACGACGAGTGCGAGAGAGACAGATGGTCGAAAGCGCTTTCGGAATAGCTCCGCAGGCCACCACCTATCGCGTGGTGGCGGAGCGTGGCGCCGCATCGCGTCACTGGTCACTGCAGTCACTGCGAGCCCTGCCCTGGCTGCCCTGGCTGCCCTGGCTGCCCTGGCTGCCCTGGGTTGCACATATGTCGTATCAAAGTTCCAATCTCACACTGCAACTTTCGCGTCTTCGAATCCCCCTTAGAATGCGGGTAAATCACGCCGACGTTCTACGGCCCTGTTTATGAACAATCGGCAAACTACTCAAAAGAAGAGGATTTTAATAATTTCGAGTTAATAAAATTAACGCATACGTGTATGAGTCCGCATTTTTAAATATTAGACATTAAGTACTCAAGGCAAGGATGAACTTCTGCTTCAGAACAAGAGCCGCTTCATTTCTTAAATTTTAAGTAAAAATAAGAAACAATCAATTTGCCAATACTGCAAGTCTTTTAACATTTTGGCTCAAATAGCTTAATGTCAATTCCAGTCTCTCGAGCGGGAGATCAGCAGGAGGAGGGAGATCCACGTCGAAGTCAGAGATGACGTCACCAGCCAGCACTAACCTCGCCAACGCAAACGGATTTTACCACTGTAAATGTCGCTTCAAGGAAATAAACGTAAATAAATGGCAAAACCATGCCAGATTTTATTGTTTTCCATTCTCATATGTCATTCAAGACGCTCAAGAAAAGCGAAAATGTATGTCAGAACCGTAAGCTCCTCAAGATAGAATGACAATGCCTTTAGTACAGTCACGCAAATCAGAAAACAATGCGTTTCAAATGGATGGCATAACTTATTTTACATCACAATCAATTACATTAAGTTCTAAACGTAAAACAGAGTGGAAATCTTTATTGAAAACCTAAAATGTGGACTTAAAAGATAGAATAAAACCACATCCGAGCTCTGTACCCTGGCCGATGACCGAGACTCTTATGCCATGCCACTCAAAAGAAAACGGCGAACACCTGAATATCCAGGAGGCCGTGATAGTAAGAGTCGGTTGATTGTTTGGTGTTATGGCAAAATAGCTCGCAAAAAGGTAAGTTATTGCACTGTATTGTTTGTTTGAAATTTGTTTTGATTCTTCTCATTTTGTTGGGGAATGGATTCTGGGTAGTGTCGTGAATTGAATGCGGGAAACATGACTGTTGTTTTGTGGTAGATTCATCGGGACAAACAATGCGTCTAGGCTTATGACCTAGAGATTGGCTAATGGCGGTTCGAAAGCTTGGTGGTTTGACCTTGTTTTAGCTTGATCCGATTTCTGGCTCGTGATTTGTGACTGTTGTGCCTTTTACTTCACTACCTCTAGGTTTTTTGGTGTGTTAGGACTTTTTCTCAAGTGCTGTCGTTGCCTTGAATGGCTGTTGGTCGTATGTGTTTGACATGACTTGGAAGTGGGGCGCGGGAAGGCGCGCTGAAGGGGGGAGGGGGCGGGACAGGGCAGGGTAGGGTAGGGTAGGGCGGGAGAGAGAGACGAAGGGAGCGGTAGGGAAGGAGAGGGGCTGGGCAAGGGGCCCAGAGGGGCCTGTTGGGCTGACACACATCGCGCTGCGTTCTGTCATGTTGGCAAGAGATGGTTTCACCTAGGCGTGCGTGTTTACGGTTGAGGCAGGCTGCATATGTCCCAGCAAATACCTCGAAAATGTCTTGAAAATAACGCGTTGTTGTGTTTGTGCGGTGCTGTGTGTGTGTTATTTTGGATATTATGCGCTCAAGGTTAGATAGCCTTATATTTTGATTGTTCTTTTTTGTTTTTTGTTGTCAATGCAAGATGTGGTGAACGAAAGATTATTTCTTAACTGGCTTGGAGGCGATGTGGAGGGGGTAATGAACCTGTCTGCTTAGCAGATTTCCCTCTGTAACCAATACCAGCGGTCCAATTTAGTGATTTGAAGTATTGGAATTGTGTGACATGGCAGAAACTTACCTGGTTCTGTTTTCCATTCACAGTTGGTGAAATTTTAAGGTTGGGTGTTGCTCTTAAATCTTTCCTTTGTATTCAATTTTAAACTTATTGACAGTGAACAAAAATTTTATTTATACCAGCTAACTTCTCAGTCCTTATTCTATTGCACACACCGATTAGTGTGTGTTTCATTTTGTGCCACAGATCTCAAGGAAGTTGAATGGCCTACTTGTATGTCCCACTGTAAGGTAGTTCTGCTTTTCCTTCTAGCATTTCCTCTGAGTTTCTCAGCGTATTTTCTTTCTTGTGTTTGAGTGAAGATGTGTTTTATTTGATAATTCGTGGGGAATTACAAAATAATTTCAAGTAGAGAATAGTGATGATGAAGCCACTTTTGGAAGTATGTCTTTCGATCACACACATCTGCACTTACTTCAGCAGTTCGTGATATTTATTGAAGGTTAAGTCCTCCCCTGCTGTTTTGTGTTTTTTCTTGTTTTTTTTTGTTTAGAAATTATTTTTATTTTGGGGTTTTTAGATGGATCTATTTTTAAACTAGGCCTTGGCTAGCAAAGGCAAACCATATTTTGGTTTTGTTTTAAATTATTTTTCATCTATTTTAAAAACGTAAAAAATTTCCAACCCGAAATTTTTGTTTTTGTATCACACCTTGTATATAAACACTTCAGCATGTTGTTGATTGCATGTCTCAATGCTATTGAGCTGTGATCCATAGATGTCTACTTATTTAGTTTTGCTTAGAACTTGGATTATATGTGTAAAATTTTGGTGTATGACTGAGCTTTTTAGAATTTTGTGAGGATAGTCCATGTCTTTCTGTTAGATTATTGAATAACTACTGCCTTTCATTTTATGTGACAGCCGTTTGAGCTTCAAGCAATGTTTAAATCTTTATACCGGTGTGTTTGTTTCTACAACTATTTTCAGGATCATAATCATCATCAAATTACCCTGATCCCGAGTGTGCGTGTCTGTTTGATCCAAAATTTCCATCAACTGACACACTTGTCTATTTGCAGGTTTTCAAGTTAACAAAATGGATCAAGAATTCTGCCTACGTTGGAACAATCACCCAACAAATCTGACAGATGTGCTTAGTGACCTACTCCAAAGGGAAGCCTTAGTTGATGTGACATTAGCTTGTGATGGAAAGACATTCAAAGCGCATCAGACAATATTGTCTGCATGTAGTCCCTATTTTGAAAACATATTCCTTCAAAATAAAGTGCCACATCCAATTATTTTCCTACGAGATGTTGACTACAGAGAAATGAAAGCCTTATTACATTTCATGTACAAAGGTGAAGTGAATGTTAGTCAGAATTTGTTGCCAATGTTTCTTAAGACTGCAGAAGCACTCCAAGTGCGAGGACTCACAGACAGTTACAATGCAAGAAGGCCAGAAGAATCAACATCAAGAGGGACAAATTCAAGGGGTAGCACACCTGTCAGAAGTGTAGAGGTTCGAAATGACACTCCTCCCCCCGAGAAGACAAGAAAACGCAAGTTATCATCAAGTGGAGACCTCTCAATCTCAGGAGCCGGCCCAAGTGAAAGGTTTCACTCAAATGCTCAGGTAATTTTTATCACTTACTATTTTCCACACTTAAGAAGTTTTTATCAAACGTAAAACGTTTTATAATTTCTAATTAATTCAAGAGTATATTTCTTGCACTACTTCATGTGTACCTACTGTAACAAATGTGACCTGTTCCTTATCTGTTTGACAGCCTTCACCTCAAATGAGCTTCAAGACTAGTCCAAGCCTTTTATCTACTAGTGCTCCAGTTCTACCCAGTCCAACAGAAGTAGATGATGTGTTAGATGTTTCTCCTCCACCTCATCAATCAGCAGCACCAATTAAACAAGAATTGGATGACTTCCATGGAATGCCTTCGGTAAGTAAGAAATTTTCATCGTTGTTTGCCTCTTTTTTTTCCCTCCCGGCTCTGCTTTATGGGGTGTGTAAAATTGACAGTCAAAGTTAGCAGTCCAGTAACCTTGGTTCATAAGTCTATTGTCCCTTCTGGATAGCAAGAAAATGGTCGTGTTATGGTACGTTGGCAAAACTGAATTGCATTACTGTAGGCACACAAATCAGAATAGAAGCCACTAGTGGATTTTACATGTGCAAAGCTGTGATGTGCTACACCTCCCCCTCTCCCCTAAAAAGCTTGCCTCACTCCGAGTGCCCAAGATGTTTGGATGTAAGAATGTGAGGGTGCAGAACGCATTTTTGGATGCCACGGAAACATGTATTGTACTTTGTGCCATATGTGAAAGAAGATTATTACGGAAACAGTCATGAGACCACAAGTGAGTATATCAAATATTGTTTTACATTACGGTGAGCAGGCTTCCTGTAGATAGCGCCTTAATAGATAACGCACGTTTGTATTCCTCCTTTCACCCTTGGTCAGGTACTGTGGACTCTGAATCAGATGGCTTCTTGTTTAACAATAATGTGTATTGCGATTTGTTGCTTCAAGAAACAATGAAATTGCATTATTTCAATTACCCTTAGCTCTTAGCTCATTTGACTTTAGGACTAAAGTATGATGTTTCTTACTTCATTTATTGGAAAAAAACCTTAATCACTTTACAGCCTGTAGAGTTCAAATATGCTCATGTATTAGCCATGCTATATTTAAAGTGTTTTTGCTCTGTATTATTGTAAGTGTTCTGATTGAGTTAGACACCTTAATATCTATCTAGATTGCTTATGGATCTCAAAGCACTTTCTAATTTTAACATTGGCAGACAAATCTCGTTGTGTGTCGTGCTCTAAATTTCTTCTATTCTTTCATGGGTGCAGGTGTCACTATTCTGTATTCTATTTCCTTGTAACCTACTTAATTGTAATGCATTTCTTTTTAAAATCCCTCAAGAGCTTTCATTGCAGATAAACAAATGTTTATGATGCATTGCCTGAATGGTCATCATGTTAATCTTTTTAAAATTGTTCTCATTCATGCGCTTCTCTCTTTCTGGAGACTAACACTGCATTTTATGTCAATGTACTTGGTGTCATCTGCTATCTTAACATTTTTTTATTTTTTTTTTAAATCTCAAAACAACATTACTATGGGCCCTGACAAGATACACCTTTGGGCAATCAGCTAACATGCTCATGCTTGTGTTCTAAGTTATGGGACATAGTGCGCATATGATAACTTCTCATTTCTTTTCAAAATTAAATCAATTTATTCCATTAATGGTGCAGCAGAAGCCTTGGCAAAAATGACCTGTAACTCATCTAATTAGTGAGGAAGCTTTTGAGGGGAGGGGAACATTCTACATTTGAGGTTCTTAAAAAGAAACAATAATGATATTTCTTTTCCTTCTTTTGTTGACAGACAAGTGGAAGAAGGAAAAGTAGTGAATCCGCTGGCCTCACAACAGCGTCGGTGGGTGATTGGTGTATGGTTGGCTTGGATATGACAGGGGGAGGAGGCATAGCATCTGTAGCAACATCGCAAGCTGCATTAGAATCAGATTATTCTAAAGGCCATCTGCACTACTTAGTCTCAAAGAAGAAAGTAGACAGAGTCCCAGTTCCCGGTTTAAGTCCTAATTCTTTAGACACTGTTCCTCATAACTCAAACTCTGCTTCAACTTCAAATATGCGTACACACTCAAAGCCCTTACGCAAGTTTCAACCTGTGCCTGCATTAATGAGTACCACTCAGGCTCAAATGCAAGCAAGTGTTGATTTACAAGCCTTGAATCAGGTCCAGAATCAAGATGGACCTATTCAACAGTTTCAAGTGCATGGACAATCATTGATGGTATCTCACCATCATCTACAGCAGTCCCATATCCCAAACCAAACTCAAACCCAAGGACAAGTTTCAAGACAAGATTCAGTTATACAGTCTCCTCAGGGATATAGTGGGACTCCAATGGCTGGTGCTTCTGGTGGCCAGCGGAAAGGAGGAAGATTTCGTGCGGGTTGGCTTGAATCTTACGTCTGGTTACAATATGATGAACATTTAAACATAATGTTCTGTAAATATTGTAGAAAATGGAGCAAGTCAGTCCCTGATATTCGCACGTCTTTTGCTGAAGGAAATGGGAACTTTCGATTAGAAATTGTTAATCATCATGACAAATGTAAAGCACATAGATTATGTATGGAAAGAGAAGAGGATTCTATTACTCGAAATGACACTAGTTACTTGTAAGCAGGAGTTTATATGTACTTCTAGTCACTGAATCAGGTACCAACAGAGTATCATGTTAGTTATTTGTTGTTGTATTTTCTAAAAGTTATTTTTAAACTCCTGGGAATTTATGCTAAACAAGCTTATAACAAATTTTTATCTTATGTCTATCAATGTCCATAATATTCTTAGTTCACTTAGAGCATTTATTAGGTCATAAGGTGTCCAGTTTGAAACCTAACTTCACACAAATGTACCTGTTGCATGTCTTGAATCATTGTGACAGTTTCTGATTCTCTCCTTTTTCATTTATCAGAAGGGAAAGAAACCAAACCAACAGAGCCAAACTAGTTAATTTATTCTTATTATACCATTGACATTTCCACCTATGATGTGTGCAAACCGTGCATCAGACCCCTCTCCCCTTCTATTCTGCTGTGATCTGAGTATAAATCTGTTTTCATCATGTTGCAAGAGCAAAACTTAAATTTTTTTTTTAACTGATGCTATTATGAGAGGTGTTTTTTCCCTCTATGTCAAACATCTATCATAAAATTTGTGGTTAGCCCCCTACCCAGCATGCCTCGTTTCTTGTGGCTTTCTTATCCTTCTTAATGAATTTTAATTTGGGGGAAAGTGTTGGTCTTTGGTTTTGGTCACTGTTTAAATGATGTTTGTGTTGTCACCTAGTGGAAGGCTGTGATATTTTTAGTCAGATGAAGAGCTTGAAATTAGACGGAAAAAAGATGGTTTTCATATTTTTTGGTACATTTTCAATGCAATTGAAATGTTGCATCATGGTATGATACTTGAGAATAGTAAATGGTTGAACCCAGGGTAACTGACTCCTATTTAATTGCATCATGTAGTGACGGAAGTAGCCTATGCATTTACTGCAATTTATTGCAGAGCGCAAACTGGTGGCTGTGGATCATTTTAATTCTGCTGTGTGATCATAGAACAAATGCATGTTAAGATTGAATGCCCTGTTTTATTGCATGGACTTGAGCATTCTTGAAGCAATTGCATTCTGTGCTCTTTGTTCAGTCAATTTTTACTGAATTTACTATTGGGCATGTTACATCTTCTACACCTGTTGGTATTTTTTTGCTGAATACCATTCTTGTCATTACCAATATAAATAGGGACAGTAATTATCTGCATCCCTTGAAACTCCCTTAAATTATTCTAGAATCGCATCAACTAGTTCATGGTGCAACTTGTCCAGTTGCTCAAGTTGAAACCAAAATCCAGCCTTTTAAGTTGTTTCCTGTGCACCCTGTTGTAAGGGAGCAGCTGTCAATTACAGAATCAATTAAAGAAGTATACTTCAATGGGGTTTACTGATTCCGTTTCCCATAAAATGTGTGTCACTGGAGCTGGGCTTCAGATTAATTTATATTTTGATAAAATTGTGTGTATTTCTAGGGTATTTTTAGTGCTGTCACATAAAATTTATCTTTTTAAGAATCAGATTTTATTCACTATTAGTTTTCAGTATTCTGTAAGCCAGAGTATGACATACTTTTTGGAATTTTGTGATTTGTACAAAGTTGCCTCTTGCATTGTATGGTGGGAACTTCCAAATACTTAAAACTGAATTCATTGCGAGTTCAAGGAAATTGTCTTGCAAGTTTCAGGAAACCTGATAATGGATGATTTATCCATCTTTAAAAATAATTCACCCCAATGCACTTGATTCTTCCACCTTTTCCACTTTGTCTTTATGTTTTAAATTTTTTTTTTCACTGCCGCAAACATGACATCTATGTTTGTCATGGATTTGGTGTGTCTAACCGGAAATGCCATAAATTTAGAATTAAGCTTGGAGAGTACATTTATGCATTCTTCTATCAAAGAGGTACTGCACAGGTTTTGAGACCATTGTGGTGTATGAGGAAATTTTAAGATATGTGCCAAATCATTAGTTGAACAAAGGCTTTATTTAAACCGCACCTATTACGATGTGCTCACCCAGGGGTGTAGTAACGGGAAGGGGCACCCCTGACCCGGCAGGCGGCGGGGGCGCCAAAACTGTGCCTTGGCATGGACGCTCTAAGACTCAGCGCAAGGGAAGGGGGGCCCACTAGGGGCGCCACTCGGCCAAAGGGGGGCGCCAGCAAAGATGCCCGCCGTTCTGGCGCCCCCCTCTAGCCGAGAAACCTTCCCACGCCCTTGTGCTCGCCATAATAACAGAACCATGTTCCTGTTCACAGAAAGGGTAGTTTTTTTTTTCCACTGATTCTATATGTTGCAGGTAGTCATTCTTTGTCTGTATTATTATTTTAACAATTCTATTTGTTTTTCTAAAGTCACAAAGCCATTTAGATTTACATGTTTCCTTTGTCCCTTGTTACTGTTTTATTGTTATTTTATCATTCATTGTTATTCTTCTCAAATGAATCTAGCACCTACTTCTGATTTTGCAGGGTATGTTTTGTTTGTTACTGGCAGATGTAGCTTAGTAATAATAAGTCTGTGATGAATTATTTTAGTGTGGTCACGCTGGAACTTCCCTGTTAATGTTTCAATGGTACTTTTTCTCTATTATGTAGAACTTACATCAAGTCGTCATTGAATTAAGACCCATGCCCACAGGACAATGTATTCTTTTCAGCTTGCATTGTACTTTCGTTACTTTTGTAGTGTTTGATAATGCTACTGCAAGAAGAAAACTCAGGGATATTATCTGGTGCAATATGTTGCATTGCTCCAGTTTGGTGAATCTGCGAATAAGACTTTTTAGCATGCAAACTTTGCAAGGTGTGAATCATCAAGGTTGGCTTTGTCAAGTTCATTATATAAATATAAAACTGATCTATTTGTGTTTTATTCACGAACACCCCGATCATTCCTCAGTAGGTCACCAAAAGTTTGAATTTATTTGCAGTTCAAGGTTTCCTTGTTAATGTCACCTAGTTTCTCAATTTTCTCATGTTGGATACCGAGATTTGACCTTCTTTCCAATACAATTAGGTCATAGTAATCAAAATACTACCACAGTACACAATTTCTGTCCTAAGTATTGCATAATTTGAATCTCCTTTCATAATGCTATATGTCATGAATTAACTAACATGCTCTTATCAGGGAAGTGAGTAGCCAGCAACAGTTGTGCATGTTTGAGTTCTTGCCTTTCTAGAATAACATCGACCATTTTCTTGATATTTGCTTTACTGCTAGGGAGATGAGCCATTTTATGAACATCGAATAAAGATGAAATGTTTTTCAAATGGGAGGGGAGATAAGCCATGTGACAATCTGTTTTTGTATTAATTAAAAGCTTTCACAAATGTGTTTCTTTTTCCTCTTTTTTTGAAAATCATATCCTTACTAAATAAAATGCTGACATCCACAGGTTGGCGCAGGAGCATTATTCAATCCTGATGACCTCAGCAATATGTCGCAACATGGATTAGACGCCAGTGATGCAGAAGGAGGCGGCTCGGCAGCAGACAGCTTGGACGCGCTTGATGGTAAGATCTCTTCTTTTTTAAATTACTGTTAGCCAGTGTACAGGGAGGCTGTAGCTCAGTTATCAGTACCCCTTAAATGCAATTTAGGTCATTAATAGACACAGTTATGCTACATTTTAACCATAAAGTGTGTCCCTAGTCTATTAAAGTTCATCCTCCATGAGAGCCTTCATTGAAGTGCTATTATAAGTAACCTTTAAATGGTGACTTGGATCTCTTCTTGCCTTTTCTCCTCTTATGTGTCTTGAAGTCTTAAACTTCTCAATGTATTCAAGTTTAAACACTAAGTTTTTCTCTAAATCACTTATTTTTGAGAAAAGTTAAGAAAAGAAAAAGTACTTTTGATAGCTTTGGACACTAAGAGGAGGAAACGTCCCTGTCCTCGTCTTTCCTTTTTTATGACACCGCCTGGACACAGTTACTGGCATGAGCTGTCCAGGTTTTTCTGCCCTGAGTGTCAATGTAGATATAGAGGTGATGGGGTCTTGGTTTGGGTTTATCAGCTTACCATGATTTTGATGCAATGAGAAGAAGATTATGCACACATGATGAGTAGGTCTCATTCAGCCTTGTGCTGGTGCCTACAAAACGGAAAGCTAGGTTTACTCATCGAGTCTTCTAATGCATGTACCTGTTGAGTAGCTTTAGGTTGCTTTCTGTATGGTTGTTTGTGTTTTTGCCACTGTGTTTGTTGGTTTTCCCTACTTTACTTTCATGGTAATTTTAGGATGAGAAAGACTACTTTCTAACAAGTTGGGCTCAGCCCTTTCTAATGACACAGTTAACCTGGGCTTTCCTTATGCATGCCAGATGGGTTGGGGAGGTTTAGAGAGGGATTCCTGCTGCTGTTGCGTGTACAAACACCCAGACCTAGGAGCCACCTAGTACTGGGCACTAGTGTAGGTCAGGTCAGCTCAAGAACTGGATCCTTGGAAGTTTGTTGCTTGTATTGAAGACTTATGGCCATACCATATCGTGGACTCATGCTCCTGGTAAGTGCAAAGGAGGAGGCCATTTTTTTCTTGAAAATTTTAGAATAGTCATCTTGGTTACAGGCTTGGAAACAAATACAAAACTAGGATGCCTAAGGTTCTATTGTTACTCTGGTTATGCAATGCACAACAATCTCCCATCTGTATAAACGGTGGTGTTATTTGTACAATTGAAAGAAAATGCACACACAATCTTTGAGAAAAATCTTTCCCATTTGAAGTTATTTATTGAATAGCGAAGCATCCTATATTGCTATTAACAAGACCTTTTTTCTTTCATATATTTACATTCATCAGAAGTCCCCATTCCTTTCTACAAACCATCATTTATTTCTCTTGGTATATCACCCACTTCTCATCATTATCATGCCATAATATTTTTTTAGAAGAAATGACATAATGGCCGCTGTTATTTTTCTTATGAAGTGCAACACAACTTTTGCTCTGTTCATGTCTACTGTAACATTACTTGTGTTGTCTTATTTTTGCCTTGTACTGTTTATTTACCTGATGCAGAATTTTTTTTTCATTCGTTTACCAAAAGCATCAGTTACCTGTTGTAATTGAGAGCCCATAATAAAACCTCGTAATCACTCAAAATTTAAGAGCACACTTATTAAGTAAAGTTAACTTATATAAGGATCCTCTTATGTAATTCAAATATTGTATAGTAGTTGGTTTTGACTGGTGATGTAACCTTAAATTTTAATTTTTCCTCTCTGGAAATTTGTTGTGTTCTACATGATTGCTGAGTGTGTGTGCATGGTGTTTGACAGTAACCGATATTTGCATGAATGTAGAGGATCAAAAGGTTTTAATTTAGACCAAAGTCTTTTCTTTTCCCTGAAGGGAATCATTTCACATTTATAAATTTTAAGTTTCTCAATAAGTTTGACGAGGAAAAAAGTGTTCTTGTAAAGGGTGTTGTCTATTTTTAAAAAGTTATTTGCTCTTGGCCTATGTTGCTCTGGCTGCAATAATCTTTTTGCTCATATCTAAATGTAATGTTTTACTATTTGATGTCAAAATCAGTCACACAATGTGTGGTGGCAATTTCCTTCTATTTTGTTTTTAGAGAAGACAGTTAGACTGGCTCATTTTAGTTTGAAATTAATTTTCCCTTTTACATAGCAATACTATTTTCTTATAGTTAAACTCCTGTGAGAGAAGGGAGACTTTGATAGTTCTCTCTTCTCTTCCAGGCAGCTCTCTGCAGTCCGAGAACATTTTCGTGCCCGATACCCAGGTTCCTGGCACGTACTTCTGCACATTGTGCACAAAGGCAGTCCGGAACAAGTGGCATCACATGCAAGTACACTTCCCAGGAGCTCATAAGTGCACCCTATGTGAAGCAGTGTACAGTCGAATTGATAAGCTGAAAGCCCACCTCCGTCGAGCCCATGGAATGGACCTAACCAGAAGATACGAACGATGTACCCCATCGGAATCTTTTCCGTTCCCGTTTGAGAACATATAAGAAGATAAAATCATTTTTGTACTGTGTGCTGCTAGGTAATGTTATGTGGTTCTAAACTCTTTGTTGGCAAATCAGTGTTTCTGGTTTTTGTTTGAGATTGAAGACTGCATAATTCAGATATTGACAGTTTAGTGTAGGTAGAACACTTAAAAGCATGAGTGCTTACAGTTTTTTCAATTAGAAACCTTCTTTTAATAAATAAAACTGAATCATTCAAAATCACTCAGATCTCTTCTGTTTCTTCTGTTTTTAAAATCTTATTTTATTCTAAATTTTTGTTTTGTTTTACTTTTTATACTTTCTACTGTAAACATGTATGCAATGCAGTTTTACAGAATGTCAGTACTGTATTAATTTTCTTGCACCCTTTAGTCTTTTTGCCCTTGCTGTGGACAACTTCAGAGAATCCCAATTCTTGCTGATTGCTTGTCTTGTCAAAGATAGGGAGGGGTAGGGGATGGACGGAAGCATGATGTTTTTTTGTTGTTTTTTTTCAAAGCCCGGGCTGAGGTGCCACTTTCTCTTGTTTTGTTTGAAGCTTAGTGTTTACCAGTATGTTTAAGACCTTATGAAACATGTTACTGGTGAATAAAGTCTCCTGTAAAATTACACTTGGCACGTATCTTCTCTTTTGTAAATGGGACTAGTTAGTCATTAATTCATTGCCATTCCCTGATAAGTTTTGGTGCCCGATTTTCTGTACAGTCAGTTTTTCCTTGGTTTTACCCTGTTTCCAAGTAGGACAGTAAAGGGAAGGTATGGAATGGGAATCTTTTATCGCTCAATCCTCAACAAATAATCTTGGTGTTAGCAAATCTCTTCTGAAACTTATGTATTACTGTAGAGAAGAAATGCTTGGTCTGCTGATGTCAAAGACAAAGTATGTACAGCCCAATTTTTGCACTGTCATTCTATCAAATATTTGATAATTGCAACTCTTCTTGCCTTTTCTTTGGTGGGTGCATACCTCATCTTTGATTGACTGTGCTCCAAATGAAATGTATGTGGGGATGGATTGGTTATTTATTTCTTCTACCTCTGAGAATCTTGGATGGCTGCTGGTCACACCGGTAACAGACAAGTGTACAGTCACACTATTGGTGTTGGACTTTTTAAGACAGATGACTCTATTGTCTTCAAATAAAAATTTTAAAATTCAAATTTTCCAAAAAAGAAAGTTATTTCATTTAAATTTTTTTTGTTTTGCAGGATCGAGCGATACATTTGCAGGAACTGAAATATCTCATTTAGATTTCTATGAGAAACTTCCATTTGGTCAGGCAAAGTGTAAACTGTGCGGTCGTATTGTCTTGCACATGAAAAGCCACTTCAAGACTCACAAACCTGATAAACGACAATGTCCTATCTGCCGGTTGACAATGCGCTCAGATAATATTAAACGTCACCTCAGAGATAGGCATGGTATATGAAAATTTAATGCCCGTTTCCACAGGCTGTGAGTTAGTCAAATTATAAATTTGACTTTTTAACAAGTTGACAAAATGAGCACTGTCAAACCGGTGCCTAACAGGCTGTTAGGCATTGTTATGTTGTCAATCCCTCCCCCCACCCCCCTTCCTTTTTTTAATCACTAGTCAGTATTGGAGTTTCATCTAATTGGTATTTATACCTCACAAAATGCTCAGCATATGACCCTTGCTTTGTAATTAGGTAGACGTTATGGGCTGGGAATATAGATTGATGGGTTAAGTTATTTATTACATTTGCTGATATAGATTGTCAGCACTTACTTAAACGGGTTCTACTGGTACAAAGAAGTGAGTTCACAATTCTATGTCGTTTTACATTGTGCCACTAATTATGACAATTTAAAGAGCAATCTTATTCATGCCAAAGCTGTTGTTACTTAATTTAATTCCTCTCTAGCCATATAAGCCTGGTTCATTTTCTATTCATACGTTATGTGATTCATGCTGTTACCAGATTCATGAATTTAAAACGCAATGACATTGGATTGATGCAGCCTTAAATCTAGCAATGTAATGTTTCTATATTTTCGGGTCTTAGCTTATAGGAAATTTATTATGTATCTGCTCAATACTTGGTTAGGTAAGGTTGCCTTTTCCTTTCTGAGAAAATAGAAATAACACTAGTTATGCTACTCTAGTTACATAATTCTTATTCTATGTTAGATTTGAGATGAAGGCTACATTCATTGAATTTGAACAGGCTCCTTTATTGACACTGAAAATAGTTTTGCAATAGCCTTTTCAGTTTGTATGCAAGTGCCATTTGATATTCTTAACTTTTTACATTTTACATTTTGAAGAAAAGTTGAGGCTGATTTTGAGTGTCAGATCAAGAACCACGCTGGATCATTTAACTATTCACATGTTTTCATCAAGTGAAGACAGCTCAAAAAGTGCTTCTTGAGTTCTCACATGCATAATTTAAAAATAACTTTGCAGTTACAAAGTAGTTGACCCAGCTGTGATCTAATGTCTAGACTCATTGCCTTCCGGTGGAACATTTCAGTACAAAAGTCTTGCTGCATTTAGCACAGCATCTCT